ATTACAGGTGTGAGCCACCAAGCTGGGCCAAACTTGGACCTTTTAAAACAAAAATAAAATCACAAAACTCCAATAGCTCGGGGAAAAAAGACTTAGCTCTCTCACCTTTTATAATATCCAGTGCTTTTAAGAGTATGAGGAAAACTGATAATATATAACAGGTGGCAGTATAAAATTCAACAAGCATTTTAGAAGAAGTTTGACAATATTTATCAAAGTTTTACATTTATATGCATTTTGATCCAGGATTTTTTTTTTTTTGCTAGGAATTTGCTCTTTTTCTGTTTTTTACTTTATAAATTTATTTTAAAAAATAGCTGTCTCCATATTTTTTATGGACAGGTAAACCAGATATATAAACAGCTATTATTATTATTTTTTTTCATAAAATTTTTTTTTGAGACATAGCCTTGCTTTCTTGCTAGGCGCCAGGCTGGAGTGCAGTGGGGCGATCTCAGCTCACTGCAATCTCTGCCTCCTGGGCTCAAGCAGTTCTCCTGCTTCAGCCTCCCGAGTAGCTGGGACTACAGGCAGGCACACGCCACCACGCCCAGCTAATTTTTGTATTTTTTTAGTAGAGACGGGGTTTCAACAGCTATTTATAAAGGGGTAAATAAAAAAAGATCAAATCGTTTCTTATGGAGAGGGAAGAAGGTTGAGAAGACAGGGATAGAACTAGATAGATTTCTCCGAAAATACTGTACTATTACTAGTATTTTTATTATCTTTTTTTTTTTTTTTTTTTGAGGACGGAGTTTTGCTCTTGTTACCCAGGCTGGAGTGCAATGGCGCGATCTCGGCTCACCGCAACCTCCGCCTCCTGGGTTCAGGCAATTCTCCTGCCTCAGCCTCCTGAGTAGCTGGGATTACAGGCACACGCCACCATGCCCAGCTAATTTTTGTATTTGTAGTAGAGACGGGGTTTCACCATGTTGACCAGGATGGTCTCGATCTCTTGACCTCGTGATCCACCCGCCTCGGCCTCCCAAAGTGCTGGGATTACAGGCTTGAGCCACCGCGCCCGGCCCTATTTTTATCTTTTGAATATACCATACTATTAATGAATAGAGAGCCATGCAAACATATTATTATATAATCATTATTATATAAAACTATATATGATTTTAAAACTGTCATATCAAAAAGAAGGAAGTTGTAGATTACTGGGGCCATATGAAGCAAGTTTCAAAGGCTCCCACTGGCCAAAGATGGGGCAATTTGAGCATCAAAAAGAACAGTAACTGCAATAGATTGAAATACATCACCTAGGCCGGGCACAGTGGCTCATGCCTGTAATCCCAGCACTTTGGGAGACCGAGACGGGCGAATCGTGAGGTCAGGGGTTCGAGACCAGCCTGGCCAACATGGTGAAACCCTGTCTCTACTAAAAAAATACAAACAAATTAGCTGGGCTTGGTGGTGTGCGCCTGTAATCCCAGCTACTCAGGAGGCTGAGGCAGGAGAATCGCTTGAACCCGGGAGGCAGAGGTTGTGGTGAGCCAACATCATGCCACTGCACTCCAGTTTGAGCAACAGAGTGAGACTGTGTCTCAAAAAAAAAAAAAGAAGAAGAAATATATCACCTAGCCGTCAGGGCAGAATGATGCCACAAAATCTCTCTGTGCACCTTTAGAGGATGCTAGTGAACCAACTCATTCTGAAAACTGATAAATGAAGAGAGAGACAAAATAACTGACTGGATAATTGATTATATTAAATAATTCTTATTTTTGAGATATGATCATGATTTATGGCTAACTTGTTAAAAGTTCTTATCATTTACAGCAACATCTTGAGAGATTCACGGGTAAACTGATGTAATATCTGGGTTTTGCTTCAAAATAATCCAGTGGGGATGTGGGTAGAGGACATAAAAGAAACAAGATTGGTTGTGAATTGATCAGTGTTGAACTAGGTGATGACTACATGGAGATTTATCATACTGTTCTCTCTACCTTTTTATACGCTTGAAATTTTCCATAACAGAAAAATAATTTTATGGAGGCAAAAGCTGCAAACAGTGTTCTATGTCTATATCGAGAGTATGACTCATGACCTTTTTTAAAAAAACCAGACCTGACTTTTTAAAAATTTTATTTTAATTAGACAGGGTCTCACTTTGTGGCCCAGGCTGGAGTGCAGTGGCGCGATCATAGCTCACCGTGCAGCCTCCAACTCCTGGGCTCAAGGGATCCTCCCACCTTAGCTTCCCAAGTAGCTGAAACTACAGGCACACACCACCACACCCAACTAATGCCTTTATATTTTATACTATTTTAATTTTATATTAATTTAATTTTACTTTACTATATTTTATTTATTTGTTTGCTTTGAGACAGAGTCTTTGCTCTGTCACCCAGGCTGGAGTACAGTGGCGTGATCTCGGCTCACTGCAGCCTTGACCCTCCTGGGCTCAAGCAATCCTCCCACCTTAGCCTCCCAAGTAGCTGGACTACAGGCACACACCACCATACCTGTCTAATTTACTTTTATTTTTGTTTTTATTTTATTTATTTATTTTCTTTGAGACAGAGTCTCACTCCGTCGCCAGGCACCAGGTTACAGTGCAGTGGCGAGACCTTGGCTCACTGCAACCTCCGCCTCCCGGGTTCAAGTAATTCTCCTGCCTCAGCCTCCCAAGTAGCTGGGACTACAGGCGCGTGCCACCATGCCCAGCTAATTTTTGTATTTTTAGTAGAGACGGGGTTTAACCATGTTGGCCAGGATGGTCTCGATCTCTTGACCTCGTGATCCGCCTGCCTCGGCCTCCCAAAGTGCTGGGATTACAGGCGTGAGCCACCGCACCCAGCTTATTTTTTTTTTTTAAAAGATGGGGTTTCACCATGATGGCCAGGCTGGTCTTGAACTCCTGACCTCAGGTGATCCACCCACCTCAGCCTCCCAAAGTGCTAGGATTACAGTCGTGAGCCACCGTGCCCGGCCACCTGGCTAATTTTAAAAAATTTTTGGTAGAGATGGGGTCTCAACATGTTGCTCAGGCTGGTCTCAAACTCCTGGACTCAAGCAATCCTCCCTCCTCAGCCTCCCAAAATGTTAGGATTAGAGGCATGAACCACTGCATCTGGCCTATTTTATTTTTGAAAATAGAGACGGGGGGTAGGGGTTGGCGGGGGTCTCCCTGTTTTGCTCAGGCTGGTCTTGAACTTCTGGTCTCAAGCGATCCTCTGTATTCGGACTTCCAAAGCACTGGGATTACATAAGTCACCACACCTGGCCACTATGCTGGGTTTAATTGTGGAGAACCAAAACTAAGCATTGTCTTTAAAAAACGAGTACATTTTGGGCCAGACGCAATGAATGGCTCACACCTGTAATCCCAGCACTTTGAGAGGCCAAGGCAGGTGGATCACCTGAGGTCAGAAGTTCAAGACCAGCCTGGGCAACACGGCAAAACCCCGTCTCCACTGAAAATACAAAAAAATTAGCCGGGTGTTGTGGCGCACGCTTGTAATCCCAGCTTCTCCCGAGGCTGAGGTAGGAGAATTGCTTGAACTCAGGAGGCGGAAGTTGCAGTGAGCGGAGATCGTGCCACTGCACTGCAGCCTGGGCAATAGACTGAGACTGCCTATCAAAAACAAAACAAAACCATTTTGGCCTACAACTCCTGACAAATGTGGAATGTGGGTAAATGCATGATGACGTGGATTACTTCTGGGAGAATTGCAAAGAGCTTCTAGAGTCAACAGAAATGCTTTCAATATTTTCCATATATTAGTTCATTAATACCCCATGAAGTCGGTACAAGTAGGGTAAACTGAGGCATAGGGAGGGTGACTAATTTGTCAAGGGTCACAAAGTGAGTAAGTGGCTCATAGTGCTTTAATTGTCCCATCTTCACTCAGCAGGGAGCATCAAGTTGGCTGCTGGATCTTTCTGGATCTTTTTTCATTACCTCGCCTTTCTAGCGTGTTCGGTTCATGCTGTTTGTCTACTTAGCCTGAGGCTTTATCGCAGATTCCTCTTGGGGGCAGTGTTGCTCCAGAAATGCCAGAAAGCCCCGCTATCCCTCACCCCCACCCTCAAATAGACGGCATCTCCTCCCGCCCTTAGGCTCTGAAAAAAAATGCCACGGGGTCGGAAAGCCTGCAGAAAGCCGAGTGGGGCCGCCGGTTCTGTGGGCAACCTGCTCCCTGCTGCTGCTGAAAATCTGAGATGAATCTGAGATGATTCTGAGGTCTACACTGCAAACTCTTGGCACACATCATTTCTAGAATTCCATTTCTTCTCGACTTAGGCTGTGTGAATCTGCACTAGTTCGCGGCACGTTAGTTACATCGCGCCCGTTTCCCTTATTGGCAAGTTGTCAGATTGGGGAAGCTCAAGGCCTAGGGGAGGGCATCTCCAGACATCAGCCACCTGGGCCGGAACCTCAAGCACCTTCTGGCCTCCGGGTGGCCTCCTCTATTCGCTGACCCAGACACTAGGCCAGTGGTTCCCAAAGTGGGGTTCCCTGGCAGGCAGCAGCTGCCTCGCTGGGAATTTGTTAGAAATGCATATTCCCGGGCCCCACCCAGGACCCAGTGAATGGGAAGCTGTGGGCCTGGGGCCCAGCAGTTAGTGTTTTCAGAAGCCCTCCAGTGGACTCTGATGGTTCCTAGAGTTTCAGAAGCACACTGGGCTAGTCCAGGTGCGCCAAGAGGGAAGTAGCTTTTTGGTTCTCACAGGAACGGTCAGGGGGCCCCCATCAGTCTATCAGTGTGCACCATACAAGGCTCACATAGAGGGACACATGTGCGTCCGTGTGCCTGCGTCCCTGCATGGACTCCAGTTGGAGGAGGAGGGAGTTTTGCCTTGTGATTTGGTCACTTGCCATTGGAAAATAGTCCTTTCCCCTACTACCAAATAGCTTCCCACTGTTTTCTATTTTCTTTACTTTCATTTCAGAGAGTGTTTTCTCTTCAGTATTGTTTGTTTTGTTTTTGTTTTACTTTATTAAAATACTGAGTTTTATTCCACATGTATACTTTTGTGTCCCCAGCATTTCCATGTCTGACCACCGCTACTGCTATGTCCTGTTATAACACTCCACACATACTTAAAACCAGGCAAAGGGTGGAGTTCCGTCTTTAAAAACTACAGGCATTTTGGACAACACATTCTTGGCAATGGAACCTGGACAACATTTATCAAACACAGTAGGGAAAGTTCTCACTCTGCATTATAAAAAGGACAGCCAGATATCAACTGTTACAGAAATGAAATAAGATGGAAATTTTTAACAAATTGTTTAAATTATTTTCTTAAAGAGACCGCCTCCACTGTCCGAGATCTTGAATAGCCCCCTGGTCAGTCATCCGGACGCAGTCTTTCACATAACTGATGAACTTGGCTTCCACTTTGAGAAGAGAACCACCTTTTTCTATACTTGCTTGCATTTTTGCTTTAATGTCTTCTATAGAACTAGGTCCTTTTGGTGTTTTCGGAGTTTTTTCCTGTGTTTTGAAGGATTCTTGTCCTTTTGATCCTGGTGTTGATGACGGTTTTGGGTCTTTTGCATTCTGATTTGACTTTTGTGCATTTTTGGCTGGAGTATCGAGTATAGATTTCTTCACTGGTGCTTTTTCTTCAGTTTCCTCATCATCCTCATCCTCATCATTATCATTTTCATCAGCAGCAAGTTTTACTTTTTTCTGTGGAAACTTGCTACCACCTCCAGGGGTAGACAGCTTTCAGAGTTTCACATTCTCTTCATCTTCTGACTCTTCATTTTCCCCCACAGCTACTAAGTGCTGTCCACTAATACGCACTGGCCCAGAACCACACTTCAATTGTAAGAGCACTGGTGGTGTTATTTCAAAGCCCCCAAGGGAAACCGTTGGCTGTATAGACATTTTCAAAGCTGCCAGTGTTGCTTTACCTGGACTGCCTTCGTGATTCATTGCCTCCGCTTCAACAATGCGTAATTCACCCTTTGCACCAGCCCCTAAACTGACCCTGCTTAAGGATGACTGGTGCTCATTTTCATCATTATCCACCTTAAAGTGATAATCTTTGTCGGCCTTTAGTTCACAACCGACAAGATAGTTCTGGGGCCTCAGGCGGCTCATGTTCATGTCCATCGGGCGGCGGCATGCACTTAGGTGGAAGAGAAGGTGGACGGAGATAAATGAACACTGCTCAAAAGAACAGCCGGGCAGGACGGAATCACCTCAGGGACTTTTTTTGAGACAGAAACTCCCTCTGTCACCCAGGCTGGAGTGCAGTGGCGCCATCTTGGCTCACTGCAACCTCCGCCTCCCTGATTCAAGCGATTCTCCTGCTTCAACCTCCTGAGTAGCTGGGATTACAGGCATGTGCCACCACACCCAGCTAATTTTGTATTTTTAGTAGAGATGGGGTTTTGCCATGTTGGCAAGGCTGGTCTCGAACTCCTGAACTTAGATGATCCACCCACCTTGGCCTCCCAAGTGCTGGGATTACAGGTGTGAGCCACCATGCCTGGTCTCTCTGCTCTTTAGAAAAGTCATCCACGCTGCTTGCAAGTTTTTCAGAAAAGAGAAATAAATGGCAAACAGACACCCAACACCTGAGGAATAATTTCTCATTTCCGTCCTTTCAATGTTTATGACCATAAATGACCATGTTTATATTTACATAAATTTTTAAAAAATGGTTTACTTGTACATGTCATTTTGTTTTGATCTTATTTTTAAATTTTTGTGTTTAATTTTTTTTAAATTTTGGTGATATATCATTTTGGCTATACTTTTTCACTTCTATACATACTGTTACATAACATGCAGTTTTCCAGTAACACTAATTTGTGAATGCATATTTTGCAGTGTTATTTGTATTTATTTATTTAGTTTTGAGACAGCCTCACTCTGTCTCCCAGGCTGTAGTGCAGTGGCGTGATTTCAGCTCACTGCAACCTCCACCTCCCAGGTTTAAGCAATTGTCCTGCTTCAGCCTCCCCTGAGTAGCTAGGATTATAGGTGCCTGCCACTGTGCCTGGCTAATTTTTGTTTTTTTTTAGTAGAGACGGGGTTTTACCATGTTGGCCAGGGTGGTATTGAACTCCTGACCTGAGGTGATCTGCCCCTCTTGGCTTCCCAAAGTGCTGGGATTACAGGCGTGAGCCACTGCACCTGGCCATATTTTACAATTTTAAATAAAAACTTAATACTTGATTATAGTGAAAAATATCAGAAACAGAAACATATCATATACATGTATATCAGAAATACAAAAACATGTCATATATATATATTTGAGACAGAGTCTTGCTCCATCGCCCAGGCTAGGTTGCAGTGGCACAATCACTGCTCACTGCAGTGTCAACCTCCCAGGCTCAAGTGATCCTCCTACCTCAGGCTCCTGAGTAGCTGGGACTACAGGCACACACCACCATGCCTGGCTAATTTTTGTATTTCTCCCTCTGTTGCCTAAGCTGGTCTCAAACTCTTGGACTCAAGCAATCCTTCCCCCTCAGTCTTCCAAAGTGGGGCCACCATGCCTGGCCCCAGTGATCTTCTCTCCATTACTATAGTTTTATCTTTTCTTTTAAATTTTTTTTTTTATAGAGACAGGGTTTCTCCATGTTGGCCAGGCTGGTCTCGAACTGCTGACCTCAGGTGATCCGCCCATCTCAGCCTCCCAAAGTGCTGGGATTACAGGTGTGAGCCACCACGCCCGGCTGTTTTGTTTTTTTGTTTCTTCTGAGACAGAGTCTTGCTCTGTCACCCAGGCTGGAGTGTAATGGCATGATCTCAGCTCATTATAACCTCCACCTCCCGGGTTAGAGCGATTCTTCTGCCTCAGCCTCCCTAGTAGCTGGGATTACAGGCACCCACCACCACGCCTGGCTAATTTTTGCATTTTTAGTAGAGACAGTGTTTCACCATGTTGGCCAGGCTGGTCTTGAACTCCTGTCCTCGTGATCTGCCCTCCTTTGCCTCCCAAAGTGCTGGGATTACAGGCTGAGCCACCATGCCCAGCCAGTTTTGTCTTTTCAATAATGTCACAAAGACAGAATTATACAATGTGATCTCTCTGGACCGGCTTCTTTCACTCAACATAATCACATTGAGATTCACCCATGTCCTGTGGTGTTATCACTAGTTTGCTCCATTTTGTTGCTGAATATTCCATTGTGTGGATATACCACAGTTTGTTTATTCATTTACATACTGATGGATATTTGGATTGTTTCCAGTTCTGGGCAATTGTAAAAAGAGCTGCTGTATACATTCATGTACAGGATTTTGCGTGGACTTAAGTTTTCATTTCTCTAGGATAAATATCCTGAAATGAAACTGCTGGGTCACAAGGGAGGTATATGTTTAGCTACATAGGGAAGTGCTGGCTGGGTACGGGGGCTCATGCCTTGAGAATCTTTACGCAAGACAATCTTATCTGTGACTACGGACAGTTTAATTTCTTCCCTTGGAAACTGTATGACTTTTATCTTATTTTTGCCTTACTGCACTGGCTAAGACTTCCAGTCTTGTGTTGACTAGAAGTGGTGAGAGTGAGTATCTTTGCTTTCTTCCCAATCTTCGGGTGAAAGCATTCAGTCTTTCGCCACTATGATGTTAGCTGGAGATTTTTTGTAAATGCCCTTTATCAGGTGGAACAAGTTCACTTCTAATCCTAGTTTGTCACGTTTTTATCATGACAAGGTGTTGGATTTAATCAAATGCTTGTTCTGTGTCTGTTGAAATGATCATGTGTTTTGAGTCGGAGTCTCACTCTATCGCCCAGGCTGGAGTGCAGTGGTGTGACCTCAGCTCACTGTAATCTTCGTCTCCCAGGTTCCTGAGTAGTTGGGATTACAGGCGCACACCACTACGCCCAGCTAATTTTTGTATTTTTAGTAGAGACAGGGTTTCGCCATGTTGGCCAGGCTGATCTCAAACTCCTGACCTCAGGTGATCTGCCTGCCTTAGCCTCCCAAAGTGCTGGGGTTACAGGCATGAGGCACCGTGCCCAGCTTCATGTGGCTTTTTAATCATTTATTCTCACAGTATGTTTTGTTCCATGCTGAGAACCCAGCCATTTCTATCCTTTTGCTTGTGCAAGGAGGGTTCACACATACCCAGGTACAGAATGGAGGTGCTGATGGGAGGGAAAATAGATAGGATGCATAGCTCAGGCTGTGGTTTGCTTCTTGAATCCTTCCAATCCAAGTCTCCTCCATTAAACCAAGTTTGCTGGCCGGGTGCGGTGGCTCACGCCTGTAGTCCCAACACTGTGGGAGGTCGAGGTGGGCGGAACACATGAGGCCAGGAGTTAGAGACCAGCCTGACCAACATGGTGAAACCCCGTCTCTACTAAAATACAAAACATTAGCTGGGTGTGGTGGTGCATGCCTGTAATCCTAGCTACTCAGGAGGCTGAGGCAGGAGAATCACTCCACACTGGGAGGCGGAGGTTGCAGTGAGCCAAGATCACGTCACTGCACTCCAACCTGGGTGACAGAGCGAGACTTGTCTCAACAACAAAAACAAAAACAGAAAACAAAAAAGCCCCATGAAACCTGCTGACAATTGTCCCCCAGCCCCTACCTGGGCCACGAAGGTAACTTCTTTAATGTCATTCCTCCTCGTGAAGTAGCAGGAATTCCTGTTAACAGTGGAACTGAATGCAGAGTGTCCTATGCAAGTCCAGGCCCCCACCTGTATGACTGCTGGTGGTAAAGTTACAGGAAGCTTCAGCCCCATGTGGATGCCCCAGTCAGCCTGCAAGCAAGATTGCTTCCCAAGCAAAGGCCTTCATTTTCCCAAGATTCTAAATGGTCCATGGCTTCCTCTAAGTGGAAGTGACTTTACAAGGAGGTGACTTTGGAAGCAGTTTCTTTTCTGTGCCCCAATTCAGCATCATACTTAGATGATCTGAAGAAAAATGAATTTATGAAAAACATAATTAAGGAAGATTCAGGAAAATTATAAGTTTTGTCTCTGCGCATTTTGTTGACAAACATAAAATTCATAATCCACTTAAGTAACACCCAGAGGCATCTAAGATTCTAATGGTTAGAAATCAAACGTAGGCCAGGCGTGGTGGCTCATGCCTGTAATCTCAATTACTTGAGAGGCTGAGGCACGAGAATCACTTGAACCAAGGAGCCGGAGGCTGCAGTGAGCTGAGATTGTGCCACTGCACTCCAGCCTGGGCAACAGAACGAGACTGTCTCAAAAAAAAATAAAAGCAGAAATCAAACTTATTTGTGGTAGATTGCAGAAATGGCCCTAATTCTCCACTCCTCCCTGTCCATGCCCTGTGCAGTATGACTTTACAGCTTTTCCAGTCAAGACGTAGGGTCCCTTTCTCCACTCTTTGATTGTAAGCTGGCCTTAGGACTTGCTTTGGCCCACGAGACAGTAGCAAATGTCCTGCAAGCAGAGACTTGAGAAGTGCTTACAGATGCTGCTTGGGAACAGTAAGCCTGGGCCAGCCTGCTGGAGCAGAAGTAAACCAACGCAGTGGAGAACACTCTTAGACCCACCGGCCTGCCCACTGCCAGACATACGAACGAGGCCATCCTATACCCTCCAGCCTCACAGGAGCTGGCCCATACCAGAACCATCCAGCTGACCCACAATGTCATAACAATAATTTAATGTTTATGGTCTTATGTCACTAAGTTTTGGTGTTGTTGCTAATGCAGCAAAAGCCAGCTAATATACAAATCTTTAAAAGTGATTTATATAATACCAACATAAAAATGGGAAATGAGGCCGGGTGCGGTGGCTCACGCCTGTAATCCCAGCACTTTGGGAGGCTGAGGCAGGTGGATCACTTTGGGTCAGGAGTTCGAGACAAGCCTAGCCAACATGGGGAAACCCTGTCTCTACTAAAAATACAAAACTTAGCTGGGCATGGTGGCGCATGCCTGTAATCCCAGCTACTCGGGAGACTGAGGTGGGAGGATCGATTGAGCACACAGGAGGTCGAGGTTGCAGTGAACCATGATTGCACCACTGCGCTCTAGCCTGGGTGACAGAATGACACCCTGTCTCAAAACCAAACAAGCAAAAAAGCCTGACTCAGCAATTTCATTCCTAGGCATCTACCCAAGAGAATAAAAACATGTCCACAAAAGACTTGCATGCAAATA